TCTCCCGTCCCCCTCTCCTCTCCCTATCTCTCCTTTGGATTTGTTTTTTGTTTTCAATCTCATTTCTTCAGTTCGTTGCTTCCAGTTTCTCCTCTCCAGTCTTTGGTGTTGATTCCCTCAAGCACAAGTCTTTGGGGTCCTTCTCATCAGAAACCCCAGAGGCTGCATTTTCCATAAAAGGTAGCCCAGATCCCTTGGAGACTGAGCAGTGTGTCTGTGTGATGGCTAGATTTAAATGTTTGGGGATAGTGCTGCGCAACTGCAGGATGCATATTTACTTTCTGTGTACTGTTACTAGCACATGACTACTTTAATTTCTTTTCTTTTTTATGACTACTTTGATTTCTAAATCAGAATTTAGAGTGTTATCTGAGGTACTTACATGGTGACATATATTCAAATACTGATTGACTAAACACAAAGCTTCATATCTTGCCTTGTAAAAATTGGTTGTTGAGTCAAGTGTGACTTTGAAATACGGTGAACATTTTAGACTAGGGAGGAGCTAGAGGAATTAGGATCTGATTTCTTCTGTTATGGAGCATTTCACTCATTTTTATTGCAAAATTAAGCATTCTTAATTTGCTTAACATAGATTCATTCTTTCTTTCCTTCTTTCTTTTTTTGGAGACAGGGCCTCCTTACTTACTTCAGGCTGGCCTCAAATTTAGAGTGGTTCTCCTGCCTCAGGCTCCTGAGTGCTGGGATTACAAGCATATGCCACCTTGCCTGGCAACATAGATAAATTGTAAAGATCAGAAAACTACTACTGCAGGACTGGGGATTTATAAGCTCAGTGGTTCTGCTGCCTGCCTCACAAGCAAACTACTACTCCAAAAGCAGTGAAAGACTTAAGGAAAACACTGTAATAGACATGTAATAAGATTGGATTTTTTTTTTTGCCATTTTCTAGTCTTAATTTTCTGAATCTACTACTTCATTATAATCATTTATAAATGTGGATTCAATTAGAAGTAGGTACAATTATATCTGGATTAAATTAGATGAGATTGAAATATATTTAGAGCTCTTTTAAAAATGAGATGATTAGGGCCAGGGATTTAGCTCAGTGGTTCCACCGCCTGCCTCGCAAGCGCAGGGTCCCGAGTTCAATTCCCAGTACCAAAAAAAAAAAAAAAGGGAGAGAGGTGATTAATGGCCTGATTAGCTTAACATTTAATAAATGCTAGAATCTTAATGTATTCTGCCCAGCCCCTCCACCCCAGATTCTAAATTTTCTTTATGTTTGAGGGGTGGTTTGTCTCTGTAGTGCTGGGCAGTCCTTCTGCCAACTGAGCTACACCCCACCCCCTGTTTAAAAGTAGCAACTTTACTGGGCTGTAAAAGTAAAATTCCTTGGTTTTTCATTATATTCAAGAATTGTGTATTTATCATCCCACCACATGCCAGAACACTTCAATCACTCCAAAAAGAAAACCATGGGGCCGGGGATTTAGCTCAGTGGTTCTGTCATCTGCCTTGCAAGTGCATGGACCACAGAGAGTTCAATCCCAGGTACCAAAAAAAAACATGTTCCCTGGTTGTTGTCGTCCTCTCTTCTATGTGTGCCCCCCCCATCAGCTGTTTCCTATCTGGATTTGCCTTTTGGGGACATTACATAGAAATGGACTCAGGGAGCATGTAGCCTTTCTGTCTGGCTTCTCCCCCTTAGTGTCCTGCTTTACAGGGTTCATTATGTTGCAGCCTGAAATAGGTACTCATTTTTTTAATGGCCCAACAATAATCTACTGTATGGATATACTATGCATTTGAAGTCCCTTCATTGGTGGGTCGAGAGCTGTTTCCATTTGGATGTTATTAATTGTGCTGCTGTGAACATTTGTGTCCAATTGTGTGAACACATTTCTATCCTTTAGCTACAGACCTGACAGTGGAATTCTTAGATAGTTTAATTGTGTGTTTAGCTTTTTATGGAACTGCCCAACTGCCAAAGCAGCTGCCTCTTTACATCTCTGTACTGCAAGGGTTGCAGAGTCCCCGTGGCTTTGCCAACACCTGCTGTTGTCCTCTTAAGCCAACCTAGTAGTGAAGTGGGATTTCACTGTGGCTTTGATTTGTATTTCCCTGTTGACTGTTGATGTTGAGTATTTTTTCCATACCTTCTTTGGAGCAATGTCTATGCAGAACTGTTGATTATTTCTTAATTTAGGATACAAATATTTGTTTTTTCTGTTATTATCTTTTTTTCTATTATTGAGTTGTAAGGGTTCTGTATATATTCTGATTACAGGTTCTATCTTAATTGGTTTCTTTCTCCTTTTTTTAGTAGTACTTATGTTCGCTTTTGGGTTTTTTTTTTAATCCATTTATTATTTTTTTTTAATTTATTTGGTACCAGGGATTGAACTTGGGCCCTTGTGCTAGCGAGGCAGGCATTGGAACCACTGAGCCAAATCCCATTCCCCCTTGTATTGGTTTCTAAATACTTTCTGTGAGTTGTCTTCATTATACTTGCATCTTTATTTCTTAAGTTATTTGACATTAATCTTAGGTGTCAATATTTTTGCATTGTTTATTAGTATTTAAATTTTTTGTAATTCTTGCTTTAGAAAAGCTAACATGTTAAGAAAAGCAGTTAATGAACTATAAACATTCTGATATACTAAAGGTGAAGAAGATGGAAAGATTAAAAACCGATTTTAAGATCTTTTACCATCAGATCTTGCTTAACTGCTCATCCCAAAAGAGCATGTATAACATGGTTAAAGGTTATTTTTCTGGTCAGTATAGTCCTTATTAAGCTTTTTCCTTATCAGCAGATATTGTAAATATCTTCATATTTATTCTAAGGTTAATTTAAAACTTAGAGGTTCTGTGAGTCAGGGGAGGGTGTGGTGCTGGGTATTGAACCACAGCCTTGTTGGGCACAGCAGGTAAATGTCCTCTAACAAGCTATACCTCAGCCCTAAGTGGATCCCCTCCATCACCACCACCACCATGACCAGGGCTTAGGACCTTGAGCTTGCAAGGCAGGTATAGCACCACTGAGCTAAATCCCCTGCCCACCTAAGTGGAATTTTAATAGCAAGTACTGATACATTGCTGCATATTTATTGTCACTTTAAAATGTAACTAGAATGAAGACCTTTACAAATAGTTCTCTTATTAGAAAAAGAGATGCTATAGGAATGGGATTGTTTTCTATCTGCTGTATGTTGTAAAAGGAATTTTTGGCATCACTGTCCCTGGTACACAAAAAGGGAAGGCAGTGGACTCCAGCCTGGGCTCTGAGAACCCTGGGTAAGAACATGAGGAGCATCTAAGAGCTCTCCTTTCAAGTTTCAGGCTGCAGAGCTGGTGGGTGAAGCTCCTGTCACACTGTGAGGTGGTGATGGAGGCTTAGACACTGTAAGTTTCACATGGAGTTCCATGTCCACAATCATTAGTGATTGTGCTTGAGTCTTTCTTAGCTTCCATCGTGGATGAGAAGTACACCTTAAAAGATTTATATGCCAGTCTGCCATTAGAAATCAAATAGCATGTGTATTTGACATGAAACAAATTTTAAGCCTCTTTCTCATTGTTTTCCTCACTATAGGCCTCAGGAGTGCAAGTTGCTGATGAAGTATGTCGCATATTTTATGACATGAAAGTTCGGAAATGCTCCACACCAGAGGAAATCAAGAAAAGAAAGAAGGCTGTTATTTTTTGTCTCAGTGCAGACAAAAAGTGCATCATTGTCGAAGAAGGCAAAGAGATCTTAGTTGGAGATGTGGGTGTGACCATTACCGATCCCTTCAAGCATTTTGTGGGGATGCTTCCTGAAAAGGATTGTCGCTATGCCTTGTATGATGCAAGCTTTGAGACCAAGGAGTCCAGGAAAGAAGAGCTGATGTTCTTTTTGTGGTAAGCATGCAAGGAACAGTGATCATTAGTTACTTTGCTCATTGCTGAGACAATATACCCAACACCAAAACTTAAAGGAGGAAGTTTATTTAGCTCACAGTTTGTAGAGGTTGTAGTCTGTAATCAGCTGGCTCCAGGGCAGGGTGGATGGCAGACAGGCATCATAAAGGAGAGACAGTTCATGGTGGGCAGAAGGTAGTAAAGCAACAAGGGAGGACCATAGTTCTTTCTATCCCTTATATCTAATGCAGGTTACTTAGGGCAAGTAGCACTCACACCCTTAATCCTAGTGCCCTTGATCCTCGCATTGCATCACAAACAGTCGTCCCAGCATCACACACTCTAGATCCAACCACCTCTGAAAAACCCCACTATGACTACATGAGGCTTTGGGGCAAGACGGGGGAATCTAGACATAAGCTGTAATAGGCATATAGCAAGTATACATGAAAAGAACAGAAATCTTTTTAGGAAGGGATGGATCAGGAGGTCCTGGTCACCCACCTGGCTAATGTCTGTCTAGAACTTTATTGGACCAAGTGATACCAATATCTCCTTGGGAAGCACGTAGGCTTACTCAGTCCGTCTTTTTCTTGAGGCCTGACCTTTAACAGATGTGCCTCTAGCCACAGCTGTAATATATTCTCATCCTCTTCACTGACTTCCTTGAGAGCCTATCCTGTCTGACTGCCTATAATATTTCTTCCTAACTTAGCTCTCTGTAATAGTTTCAGTCGATAGTCAGTTGGCTCCAGGGCAAAGTGGCATGGCAGAGGGCATCAGAAAAGGAGACACAGATCATAGCAGAGCAGGCAGGAAGCAGGAAAGCAGCCCCTTATATTCCATTCAGGATACCTGGTCTTAGGCAGATAGCACACACACCCTAGATCCAGCCACCTCCAGAAAGCCCCAGCTATGACCACTTGAAACGTTTGGGCGGATGTCTAGACTCGATATAACACTGAAGCCGGGCGTGGTGGCACATGCCTGTAATCCCGGCACTCAGGAAGCTGAGGCAGGAGGATCGCTGTGAGTTCGAGACCAGCCTGGGCTACATAGTGAGTTCCAGGTCAGTCTCAACTATATAGTGAGAACCTGTCTCAAAAAACAAAAAAACAAAACAAAAAAGATACAACACTGACTCTCTGTAAATGTCAGTACTGTTAACCAGATCCAGGACTAGAGTAATTTTTCAGTCAAGCTATTTGCAGTCCTCATCACTTAATTCTTGTTTACAGGGCTTCATGAGGCCTTCACTGGGCCAGAATGCGACTTGAACCACACTTCAAACAACATGGCTTTTAGTAATTGATGTAGTATTTGGGTGGGGAAAGGGCAAGGGGTAGGCTGTGAGTATCTTGTGGCTAACAGCTCACAAGCTTAACTTCCCAGCCCCTTTCACCACCCTCTGCTGGGCTCAGGGCTTCGCTTGGAACGCTGGCACCAATCCCGCCCCTGTGTTCTGCTGGGTGGGGATGTGCACTGTGGAGAGCCCTGAGATGCGTGCCTAATTCCACTTCAATTAGTGAAAAATAAAGATCCCATTTCTTTGGAGTCAGCACATTTCAGGTGCTCAGCAGCCACATCTTTGGGTTGCACAGATAGAAAACATTCCTACCAGTGCAGAGAGCTCTGGGCTACCCTTGCTCTCAGGCCTAGCTTACCTGAGCCACATTACATGTACAGTGTATGTGAGGTTAGAGAGATACAGTAAAGTGTGACAATGGTATATATGTGCTACATAAACATATGAAAGCATTATATAATGTAATATGTGTATTAGAAGAAGGCAGGCAGCCTGGGCTGCAGGGGACACGTCTGCAGAGAGTAGAACAGTTATATGAAGGCTGTGGTTATAGCTCAGTGGCAGAATTGATCCACTCTAGCAAAAAGCTATTTGATTATTCTGGTCTTTTCAGTATGAAAATATTGGAGAGCCAGGCTCCTATAGTCCCAGCTACTTGGGAGGTTGATACAGGAGGATTCCTTGAGCCCTTGAGTTCAAAGCCAGTCTGGTAACAGATTCTGTCTTACTTTTCCAAAATCCTCACACTTGGGGCCCTCATTTAACTTACACTGTTGTATTTGCCTTGATAGGGCTAGAGTGAGAACATTCCCCAGCTTCTGAGGGGAAGGGGAAGTGAGTGCCTTCAGCTTTTGGAGGCGCACGGGTTTCTCTTGATACTTTGACCTAAGCTCTTGGCCGGTGCCACTGGCCGTGCAGGGCAGTGGCGGTAAACCTAGGCACATGTGCTGCAGCAGGCTGTTTATATCTTTGGGTGCACTGGTTGGGTTAGACTCTGAGGCTCTGCAGCATGCCAAACCTGCCTGGCCCTGGGTCAGTACCCCAAGGTTAGGGGCTGTGCCTGGGTAGCTGCCACCGGGCCTGGGCCTCGGAGCCCATAGTTGGAGACTTCTGTTCCTCCTGTTGTGATTTGAACAAAGGCACACTAGGTGTTGTGTAGTGAAATGAGGAGTCCCTGCCCCTGTAGCTTTATAGATGTGAGCGAGAGAGGCCAGCTAGGTGTGGGCTTCTAAAGTGAATGTCTTTATTTGTAGGGTGTTTTTTTTTTCTGGTTTTTATGTATTTTCAAACTATGAAACTTAGACATTTTTTGTTAAAGAACATTTTAAAAATAAGGAAGTCCAGTATAAATGCAGTAGCTTATTTTGCACTGTTACTTATTTTAGGAAAATGTAAAACTGTACTACAGACACTTGCCCAGAAGCACCCAGGGCTCAAGACTGAGGTCAAACCCTGTCCCCAGAAACATCCACTGCACCAGAGAAGTTGAGAGGCTTTAGGGCTCTGCCTCCTGCCCGGAAAAGTAAACACGAGAGACACACTGGCCATTTTTGGCAGCAGTGGGTATGGCAAGGGCTGTACACTAGAGTCCTGGAAATCCGACAGCTAAATAGAATCAGCAAATGCTCAGAAGTCTTTCACTGGACTTTTTCTTTATTGGCAGTGCTGGGGATTGAACCCAGGACCTTCACAGTGAGCTACATCCCTAACCCCTTTTTATTTTAAGACAGGGTCTTGGTAAGTTGCCAGGCTAGACTTGAAGTTGGGATTCAGTCTTGCCTCAGCTTCCTGTGCAGCCAGGCTTATAGGAGTGTGCCACACACCTGGCCACACTGATCTGATGTTTAAGCAGTGGCTCTCTCTGTCTTCTTATGGCGGCACTCCTTTTTCCCTTGCTCAGCCCACACAAGTCTTGCGGTACCCTTAGCACTTGCTGTATGAGGAGGGGCAACAGACATGCTGTCCAGGTGCTGAGGTGCCTCCCCAGCACGGAGCAGATTTTCTCACTCAAGCTACAAGCTGGGCCAGGGATTTAGCTCAGTGGTTCCACCACCTGCCTAGCAAGTGCAAGGTCCTGAGTTTGATCTTCGGTACCAAAAAAAAAAAAAAAAAAAAAAAAAAAAAAAAAAAAA